ACGCTATACGTACACTTCGCAGCTTAGCCGTAATAAATTTCCGTCACACGCATCGTGACTTTCACTGTATATATAAGAAAATTATACGTCGAGATCATCAAAATGTGTAAACGGACTCCCGAAGCCTGTTCTCAATCGCCGTCTGCTTTGAACTCGAGAAAACGAAAGAATTTGAAATGTGTTCGCGTGTATCTGTCTCTATTCGCCGATTTCGCAATATCCGCGTGTATTATTAAACAATGTTCAAAGAGCAAAATATAGTAAAAAAAAAAAAAAAAAAAAAAAAATAATTGCTATAATGTATTTCATAGACTCGAATCATAAGGGCATAAAAACGTATTTATAGCTTCAAAAGTACAAGGTGCAAAGATATCCAATGTCATTCAGCCTCGCCATATTGCTCGCCTGTACAACTGCACTCTCGTCCGTCGATCTGATTAGAAGTTTCTTTTTTTTTATATATATACATATTTCGCTCAAAGAACATATAGAATATTTGTTTTTTTTTTTCACGAGCGCTGTGTTTCTTTGACCAACGAAATAATCGCTTGAAGGGGGGAATACCGTTTAGTAATAAATCTTAATTTCGTTTTTCGTCTCTTCTATATACGCACGCTGAGCAAATTGATGATTTGTATATCGATGGCGACATTTGCGTGGCTAAATATTACTTGATGGTAATCGCGAAATTACGCTAGATAAAAACTATGTACAAATGAGTTTATAAACTAAAGAGATATATAACCGTAAATATAGAACAATATATATATATATGTACCGCATTAAAAGAATCAACTCGATCTAATCGCTGTAGGTGATATAAATAAATAAATCGTTGCATCTTTTTACATGATAAGCGCTGTATAGGATGCGATGACAGGATGAGTTTTTTTTGCGCAAGAAATCATTTCTTTTTCGGTTATATCGCACACCTGTCCCACCGCATCCTGTATAGGCACAAAATTACGATCGAGATGTATGTTCGAAGATATATTCTCTCAAATTAATTATTTAAAATAAAAATTCAATTTGAGTCATTGCATACGTACAATAAAAATAAACACAATAAGCTGCTTTTTAATAGCATGTTTTAACAGCATGAACATTTGGTGCGAAGAATGCAATGTCACTTGCATCGAGAAAACTTACACTTAAAATCCAAGTTTTAAGTGCAATAAAAATTTTAACGAACTGCGCACGTAAGAAATGTGATCTCGTTCCAAATAAAAATAAAAATTAAAAAAATGAAAATAATTCCAAGAAGTAAAATGTGAAACCGCGAGAGAGAAATTTTTTTCCTATCCTACGATTTTTACGAATTTATATTTATATAATAACAAAGTAAGAATAACATTTAAGACGTATTCTTTGTATATTATTTAACATAAATCTTTCTTGAGATATGATTGTGTTTCTGACTGATAGTGTCGTAACATATACATTTGTATATTGCTGTGTAAAACTTCCGTCACATTCGTCAAAATTAATTATACAAATTTTGCAATTAATTTCTCAAATGGTTGTAAAAATTTCGTATTAACAACTTAGAGACCGATAATTCACTTAACGTACGTGTATGTGTGTCGAGTTCTCGGACAAATATATTATACATACCACATATATATATATATTTTTGTAACATGAATCTACATACACACACACATATTTAAGTTTATGCGTATCAACAAGGTCAGCGTTAATATTAATGTGCAGTTAAATGAAATATCGGTCTTGAAAAATATGTCATTTTTTCACTTGTACATTTCTTACAATCTCACGTAAAAATCTTGTTTCAAAATATCGTTTCCGTTATCACAAGGATCAAAAGCCTAGTCAAAAAATGTACGACCAGATTTGTGTAAATATTCTATAAAGAAGAAATAAAATATATATATTTTACATCCCCCGTCCCTGCGTCATTATGTGTGTGTATACACGTGTGTCTGTGTTTGTGATCGTCGATTACATAAAAGACCTTAACTTAATTAACAAATAGTTTTAGTTTTAACAAGGAGCAGTCTCACTGTGGCACGGCGATTATCAATTGATCATTAAGTAAATACAGATACAGTGTTGTGTTGTAATTCGCGTGAATCCTTTCGGATTTACAAAATAAAGAGGCGTAATTGACCATACGAATGTGCGGAAAACTACGTGAAACGTATTTCCCAGACAGAGTCACACATCGAGTACTCGCTGATATGCGCGTACGGTAATCGGATTGTGTGTGTTTCGTCTCATAGTTGTAATTTAATCAGTTGATAATCTCGTGGTTTAAAAATAAAAATTACATACGCGCTATATATCGGTATTGAACGCAATTCGCCTAAAAGAAACGTAAGTTCAGGACACAGTAACCTTGACAGAAATCCTATACTCGATCAGTCTACTTTGTTCATCTTGCACAATCGACTTTACGTATCTTCCTACGTGTCTTTTTTTTTTATTTTATTTTATTTTGTTTCTTAGTCAATAAATCCGACTAAGACCTACGAATCTAGAGTGCTTGTTCATAAATATGATATGTCGAGTAAAATATAATATATTGTATATTATGTATATATCTACGCGGGTGATGGAGATATAAACTTGAATGTTGTAGTAGAATAATAATTATTAATTATACGTGAAGAGCGCTGGCGTGAGGTGTCGGCGTCGATGTTGCACCTCAAAANAAAAAAAAAAAANNAAAAANNAAAAAANNAAAAAAAAAAAAAANAAANTATAAACAGCATTATTACACTTTGTTTAAAATTCCAGTATTCAAAAAGAGGATCTGGCGTCACATGGTCCCAACGATGAGGTTTCATGAACGTGCTTTTAACTTCGAATCCCAATCTTTGTCCGAATGTATCTCTGTGTGCAATAGCGATACCGACAAAACTCGCTCCAAAGTTTAATGACGAACTGTGTGTTTTATCTTTCCCAAGCAGAAACGAAGGATTTTCGTTAGAGTTCTCATCGAAACTAAATGAAATCGATTTTTCAAGCGATTATTGGGAATGTGTGCATTCACGTGTCGGCCAATTCTAAAGTTTTCTTTCGTTTCTACTTCTTTCTCCTTCCTTTTCAACGAGACGTAAAGTCTCGATAATTAATTTGTTATATATATATATATCGATCGTTAACAGTCTGATATAAAAAAAGTTCACTCCTACCGTTATAGGACGAAACGTTTTATCTCGTTAAGTCTGCCGACAATAGATCTTCGCTGTCCTGTCTTAAACTTCTTGAAGAGACTCGACAAAGTGTGTTTACCGAGTCCTGCGATTATCGCTCATCGAATTTTCTCGTTTTCTTATTGCCTAGAAATACGTTGCTTCTCCCTTTCTTTCAAGGAACTCGTTTTTTGTTTTTTTTTTTTTTAAATGTTCTTTCAGTTTGCCCGTTGTCACCCGTTGTCTCTCTCATTCATCGACAATAAAACTTTAGCAAAGTTTTCCCCAAGTGTTGTGGATTGACAGATATTACATTTTGCGTGTTTATATATATATATATATTTTATAGTCAAGACAAGTATAATATTGTTTCTTGTAGAAAATAATTCTACGTTTTAATGTGTGTATATGCATATATATAATATACGTGTGGCTGGAAAATCAGACGCACGTTCATAATTGATCGTATTGTAAGCTTAGAGACAATTAAAACGTTGACTAGAGGCGATAATCTCTTATATTTTTTTTTTTATTTTTTTTTATTTTACGCTATAAAGCTGAATCTTTTCTCTATTTTTTTTTTCTGTTCAAAAGTCTTCATCTAGGAATTAAGATTTCATGCGGCAGCGTTTACACGTATAACGCCTCTCTCTCTCTCTCTCTTTCTCTTTCTTTCTCCCTCATTTATCGAATTAGCAAAAACGTCTAGTTAGTAGATCTAATGCGCGCTAATAAGTCGGTAAAAAGCGGAAGTACTGATAATACAAATTGCTCGGTCATTTCCCGTTTACAGGAATGTTTTTCGCGTGTAAAGCGACTTGATCGTACTTTTCTTCTCGCGAGGTGCGTTCCCTCGCGAGGGCGTAGATGATATGTTGTACATACAGATTGTCGTAATCTGTGTGCAGTGGATATTCATCATATAACGTAACGTGATCACGCTAGAAACCAATATCCGTACCTTCCGCAAATTATATTCAGAATATATCGAAAGTCTTCGTCTCATGCACTGATATTTTATTTAATCTACCGATCAAAAGTAAATAACAGCTATATGCGTATTCTATGAGCGTTTTGTTTCTCGAATAATACTCTTGTTGTGTTATATATCAAACTGCACTGCCGATATATTTTTCTCTAATTAAAATTTTCTTAATGTGTATATATATATATATAAGATATATTATTACAGATGACATCGTCTATTAAAATTGACACGTTTTCTGGCGTACGCCTTATTAAAATAGTCGCATATATACGCGTACTCTTTGATCAATATTCGCGTAAACAACGCTTCCATATAATATTGAAGATAAAACAGTGAAATAATTATGTAATTCTTCAGAGTAAATATCTCTTGTACACATGGAAACACCAGCTAATCTCGGATTCTCTCGAACGTTCTCGCTATAAACATATTAGCGCTATCCACGCGTTATTGCGTTATTTCGCTCACGTTTTCCCAACGCAGAAGTACTTTTCATTCTTCGGGACCTCAGTGTTAGCAAGCTACGGTTGTCACGAACGTCCTGTGCACTTCGAATATTATTTGCAAGTTATTTTTGTTTATCACTTAAGAGATATGTCACTTTGTACAAAGTCTTGTCTTTAAAGAAAAAAATTCTTCCCTTTCGATATGAATAGATCATTGACATGTCTTGATTAATTTCTCCGAGTAAACGTTTAAGGACAAAGAACAAAAGGTCAGCACTTTCTTTCTTTGCCTCTGATGCGTCTCTGAAAATCTGTCAGAATCTTCAAATTGCGAAGCCTCTTTACGAGTTTGCTCCATATGTCCACAACAATTTTTTTAATTATAGATACACGCTGACTTATTTTTTCTTTTTTTTTTTTTAACTAATGAAAAGCTTATAAGAAGACAGTATGAGTGTGAGGCAATCTAAAAGTTACAATGCTGGCGATCACTAACACCAGTGCGGTCAATAATGCGGGCGCAATTAATGGTTCGCCCACTAATGTCTGATATGTCGTTGTTCCTATCAGACCCGATATTCTTATAGCTGCTGCTATAAGCCCAAAACCGGTGCACCTATAGAAAAGACACGAGGAAATGTCAGTTTTCTAGCTGCGCTAAATTAACTTTACTCTGTCTTACCGCAAGTGCGTGGGGAAGCTCTCGACTGTGACCAAAGTTAGCGACGTCCATCCAATGGCGAAAAGAGCCGTAAAACCCCCTTCGAAACCAAGAACTGCGGAACTGTTTTTCCGGATTAGTATCAGACACAATGCGGTAACGGAAGAGAAGAAGAGTGAGAAACCTGGATGTGAGAAAATTGGATCGTTAAGTTGTAACTAAAAATTTGTTAAAGTTTCTTTAACGACTGTCAACTGACCAATTAATTTTGGCCGCTGGAGAACGGTGAGTGCCAAACCCGCTAGCGCGGCAGCAGGCACGTAAGCCAATTGAGCAACGAGATGAGCATGCAACGCTTCTTCTATGTAAATGTTGTAATCCAAATCAAGAGTTGGACAGGGTCCACTTAAACTCAGTTCTGTGTTATTTTCCAATTTACATCTAGTAAAAGCTTGCGCGGATAAATCTGTGTCAACGAATCTGTAACAATATACCGTGATCACAGTTACATATAAACAAATAAAAATTTCACGTTAATGTACTTACTTCGAATATACAATCACACTGTCTCTAAAATGGGTTTTGCTAGACTTAATGCTAGTAAACTCTACTGACTGGAAGGTACAATTGTCAAAGTCAACGTGACTGAATACCATTTTAGTAAATCTGCAAATATTTAGAAAGTATTATTGAAGTTGCACACATCATCATTATTTTATATTTATGTAATATGCTAGAATAACTTACTTGCAGTTTAAAAATGTAGAGTCTTTGTACTGACGATTTTCCCAAGAGCCAGTAAACGTTGTACCATTATATTCTTTGCCTAGATAGATTTCAGTATGAGCATCGTATTCTATCGCTCGCAGACGTTTCAGATACTCGGGACACCATACCATGAGACCGTAGAGACTGTACAACATAAATATAAACGAGTCTTAAGAAAACTCTCTACTACTAACAAATATCAAACCAATAAATAAACAAATTTTCTTAACTACAAACATTTACCTGAATGAAACGGCGGACCAGATAATCAACAAAACCAACGTCACACGTAAATGAGGTGTCGCAAATAACTCCAAAAATGAATTCCAGAACTATGAGCAGAAATGCAATTACCTCATTTTATAGAGATATAGCTCTTTACGTGACAATATCTTCGAGAAAATTTTCTGTCATATTTACCATTTCAATCGAATATATTATGTCCGCTAAAACGCTAGTGTGACTACTGGGAGATGGTGGTGCCAAGCCTCGGGGTCTCTTAGTTGGAAGTTCCAATTCAGAGAGTTGATACTGAGCACCTGTACCACCTCTCCGTGCGTTGTTCTTTTTGTATATCCTCTAAAACATTAAATTGTCATGATGAATACAAAATACAATGAAAACACAACGCTCGATTTTTTTGCGTAACTGTTTATGTTACACGTACTTGATAAACCATCATGGCTTCCACATCTCTACCGGCCTCTACAAGATACCTCGGACTTTCTGGTAAAAAGATAAGACCGACCGTGGAACACACCGCCGGCAGACAACACAATAACAGAAAACGATGCCAGGCGCTGAAGTGTTCCTTATTTTCCAGAACGACCATTTCTCCTGTCGTGGGTACCACCACCCAAGCCAGAAGAGCGGCATAAACACCTCCAAGTGCACATGCCGCCACGAGTATTCCCGTCCAACGACCTCTGCTTAATCGCGGACAGCATTCTGCAAGATATACATACGCCAACGGTAGAGCTCCTCCTACTCTGTAACAGAATACATCGAACAATACTGTATAATATAATCAGTAAAATTGTTGTGTTTATTTAAATGGCATGTCAACGTGTAAAAAATATATATATATAAAAAAAAGAAAGTTTGCGTACCCAAGAGCTGAGCAAAATCTAGCCGTCATGAAAGTGCCGTAAGTGGGCATAAATGTCGCGACACCGCTGAATAGAACATGTACGGACATAGCTGAGAGAAGAGCTCTATGTCTTCCCAGTCTATCTCCCAAACCACCCCAGAACAATCCACCAAGTGCAAGACCGACAAGAGTAATATTGCCTGAAAGATCAAATTATTTAGTCGTTGTCAGAGATCGATTTTATGTAAAAAAAAACAAAAACAAAAACTGAAAAATTACCAAGCCATCCTTTCTCATTGTCTTCGATGCACAATTCAACTTCTGCACTTGGCAGTATATAAGGAACAACAAAAAATTCAACAGTATCAGCTGCAAGACTTAATCCTGTACAGAAAGCAGCAAACAGTTGGAAGTAACCCACTCCAGCCTGTAACATTAAAATAACTGTTATGTAACTTGTTCTTACACACACACACACACACACACACATAGAATACTTTTGTATAAAACTAAACTTTTTTGTATTGCTGTAATAATAAAAGATACTAAGCTGCCAAGTCTCTTTCAATATTTCGTGAATATATATATCAGCAAATAAAAAGCAAAAGATTTGTGTAAATAATTTTTCAAACAATAAAAATAAAAACATCTATCGAAAGTGTCATGAGCAAATATAAAAGTGTTTTTCGGTGAAAAATTAATATGTACATGTAATACAGCTAACGTAAACAATTTTAACAAACATCTTGATTGAACATTTATCTAAATTGTATTGTTGTTATTTTATTTGTGTTGTTTACATTTGAGATCACGAAAGCGCGCAACCAGACCCAGAGAGGGACTATCGACATAACCTAGAACGAAGAAGAATCAAGTAAACAAAACAAAAAAAAACTATTTACTGGAAAATCCTTTAAACAGTTCGGCAATTCTCGCGATGTGTATTTCGTCTTGACGATCGATTCGTTCAGGACTTCGTCCATGACTTTGTCCGTTCTGCCAGCGCGAGGAAGAGCGCGTATTCGCGGAGAGCGACAGAAGAACTGTCACTCACAAATGTTGACAAACAAAACGTCAAAAAACGACGCCGTTCCATCCAGGTTATGTTGTGATCGCGTATCCACGTCGCGCATACAAAATTTTTATACCGCATTCGATACTCCGCTCGTAAAAAAAAAAAAACGAACGAAACGAGCAGCTGTCGGATCCGCGTTTCCGCCACATTGGCGCGATCGCGGCAATCGATCGACTCCGGAACCCGCGCAAACGACTTCGATATATCTTTCGATAATTCGTCGGAAATCCAAATTGACAAAAATCGTGCTGTTCTCGAAGTAACGAGCGAAAGTCGAAAGTGTGACTCATGGTTATCATCTATCTCCGCAGATGTATATGTAGTACATGTGCGTGTATACACGACGAGAGAGACGATTACGGTAATTTACACAAGTAAAATAAAAGATACGCATAGTTATAATAAGATGTAGTTTGATCAATAATTGTTTATAACCTCCGAATTCGAAAACCGATTGCACTGCTGATTCTTGGTTTCAAATTGCTTTAGGATTTCTCTCACGCGTCGCGTATTGCGTTTATACATTACAACGATTTATATCAAAAAGAATGAAAAAATTGCGAGATTGCGCTTCTCGATTAAACAAAGAGCTTCCTGTGGAGAACGAACACACAAATTGAAATATCTCTCATATGATGATTCATCACCTGCTTGATGGCGTCCTCGTGAAATTGCGCCAGAAGGGTCGCGTCCGCGGTAGAGTCGATGAGATCGTGCTCCGCGGAATCGGCCGAGGCCGAGTTCACGCCGGCCGTGGTGACGTTCGACGGCTGTTGGGTCATCTCCTCGGTGTAGAGACCGGTTCTATTGCCGCGTTCGCCCGCGCCCGTTTTCGTCGCGCTGCCACCGGAGGGTGCGAGGCCGCCCCCACTGCCAACAAGCCACTGGCTTTCCTCCTCCGATGAGGGCATCACTGCCAGAAACCATCTGGAAGCAAATAAACGAGATAATGATCGCGAACGGGAACAAAACAAATATGAATCAATTGAATTCCATCCTTTGATAACGTTGGTCACTTGGTGTTCTCGATCTCGATCGGATATTAAAACGATATGAAACGCGCTAATTACGATCAACAAACGTGTGTGTATTTTTTTTTTTCAACCTGAATATAATTTTCGGCAAACCGAACTTGAGACCGCGCGCAGTGTCATCGTTTCGCGGCGACGCGAAAAGATAGAACAGGACGTTTTTTTTTTCGCGTACCGCATTATTGCAGATAAGATACGAGTTTGAGATAAAAGAACCGGAGAGAGAGAGAGAGAGAGAGAGAGAAAGAGAGAGAGAATGAGTCAATATTTACGCTTGAGAAACAGAAAAGCCGGAAGTAGAACGCAAGACGGAGTAAGAACGAGAGAGCAATCTCTGCGTTTATCAGAAAATAAACGCTGATATTGCAAATGAGAGATACCCTACGTGTGAAAAAGACGCGCGCGTGTAAATAAAAATCTAAGTATTGGGGACATGTGTTGTTGTATTGTAGTAACAACAATGCCGGTCTGACATTGGCGCTTCACGGTTGTGTGAAATTCGTCGCACGTGCGCGGCGGACGGTGGAGAGAGAGAGAGAGAGATACGCGCGGCATATATGCGTCTACACACACACGTCTTGCATGTAATTGTAACGTCTCTTTGTCTATAAGTGCGGTTCACTGACCACACACACATACACACTGTGCGATATCGCGATATTCGTGACCGGTAAAAGATTTGACATTTACGACCTTATGTCGTGTGTTTTAATGCGGACTGTTAACACAGACGTTAAAGTTCCACCAGAAGAAAATGTGTGACATAATTGGCGCGTCTTCGCAACCAACTTGATACAGATACTCTTTTGTTCTCTGTACCATTTTTTTTTATGTCAAATTTTACTTGTGTATTTTTCTTGTCAAAGTTATTCTCTTGCAACATACTTTTTTGTACATGCGATATAGATTTTTTTCTTTTTTTTACAGACGATTTACACGCGCCATCGTTCGCCGCCAGTCCTTGGTTTCGCGCATCTTTATGTATGTATGTACGTACGTACGTAAGCCTTTGCCTTAAAGTTGACCTTAAACCAATCGTCAAAGTAACCTAAGCAACCTAAGCAACGTTTGCGTGCGCTTATACGTTCTGCGGCGGGGGTAATTCAACGTTTATGAGCTCGCGCTGAAACACGCGGAGGTCGCGGCGTTTTACCAAGGCTGATTAATTCCCGGAATTAATGCGAGAGAACTACCGGCCAATGCGTTTATTACAGGCTCCCTTTTGCGTGTCCGTGCTGAATCATCGATCTGTTATATTGACCGTGTATATGCATACACACGCGCGACAGCACTCCGTGCTGAAAATGTATACACACGATGCAAATATCCAATCCAAAGAAAAAAAAAAAAAAAAAAACATTCGCCAACGAAACTAAGATGCGAATTTTATGCAAATTTTATGAGAAAAAAGAAAACATTAAAACAACCTTGACAACAAGACAAAGTTAGAGAGAAATCGCGGGGAGAGATAACGCGTGTCGTACGCGAAGTTTTATTCGTATTATCTCTCGCGTTAAAAAAAAAAAAAAAATTTATACAAATTTCACTTAACGTTTCGCTGGCGGTAACAACAAAGCAGAAACCGACAAAGAGATGCTTGCAATCGGCCTCTGTCAATTTTTATCTCAGGTGCAAAGGTGCGGCATTACGTCAACGGTTTGCAACTGGTAAAAACACTATAGACGGGCGGTGCTGCGTCATCGAGCGGTGTGTGTCGCAAAAAATAAAAAAAGGTATTAAAATTACATCCTGGCGAGGTGAGATGACATTACGTCGATCCGGATGTAGGCGCCCGCGTTTGTCATCGAAGCATCTATCGCGGTCCGTTTTTCGCGAGTATTTTTTTTATAAACACGGGCGGTGTGTATATCTTACGATCCGGTCGGGGGCAGTTTTTGAAACGCGTCGGCGCTTTTGTTACGGGCGCGACCGCATACGATTTATCGATCCGAAACCGATTATACGGTTCCGTAGCGCGCGTATTCATGTATATACACATTTTCCGTGCATCGCGGTGCATGTATTGTATATGTACGTGCACGTACAACGGCGACGTCGACCGAATGTGGGGAACACAAGCGCACGTGTCACCTCGCGCGAGCGCCAATGTCGCCGCGACAGTCACGGTCGCGGCGCGACCGCGTTTTTGCAAGTCCTCTATTTTCTCGTCGTCAGTTATTTTTGAAACGAGCGACGGTGTCTTGCACATTAGCGTTTTTGACCTTTAAGTACCTTTGTATTTACTCGCGACGAATCCGAGAAGATATATATGTCCTCTCGTGTTTTAAACTCGGCTCGAGAAATGCCAAACTTCCGAAGCGCGATTTTTTTCCCGCTCTCTCAGCGTGTTCGTAGTTGCAACGAGGCTGTTCTCTGGCACGCGCGACAACTCCCCGATTGATTAAACTCTTAAAACGATTTTACCTCGTCGTTTACCAAGAGAGAGAGAGAGAGAGAGAAAAAGATTGCGTTAGATTGTGAGGTTTACATTTACATACTTGCCAAGAGACTTAACGATGCAAATTGAAACTATTCGTGATGAATGACGGATGACGTCCGGTATTATTTTCATTACGGAGAAAATCGACTCCAACTCAGATCAAAAATTTGTCAAATGTACACTTCGTTCTATATCGTGCGCGAGAAGATACATAAAGTTTTCAGTCACACACAACACACACACACACACACAGAGAGATGTTCACCTTGACGGCAATTTAATTTCAAAGACGTTCCATTGATAAAAAAAAAAAAAAAAAACTAACCTTTACGCATGGCAATATATCAAGTTGTATAACACGAACAATTAACGATTCAAACTCGGCGTTAATTGAAGATAGAAACCAAACCAACGGTTAATTACATGGTTCATATCTGCCGATACAATTATCTAGATCTGCACTATTGCGTGTTTCATTATCGCCGTTACGCTGTCGACGCAAATATATCGCACGTGGAAGCGACGCGACATGCATAGATAAGTGCGGTTGATGAACACGAGCCAAACGAGCAGCGCGCGTATAACTCAGAGGGAACCGCGGGACACGCAATTTATCAAGTTTATTCTTGGACGCGGCATGTAAATTTATGTCGATTATCGTGCGAAATTGGTCGCTCTGTTGCGGAAAATATTGTCCGCTACAAATAAATTCTGAGATTTCTCAGTCCTCTCTTGTATTATATTTTAACCGACGCTCGCGAAACGAGAAAATCAAAAACAAAAGAGAAAATCTGTTCCGCATGTTAACGCATGTTTCTAACTCTTGCGATTCGAAAACGTGCAACAGATTGCTTAAACTTATTGGTACAAACAATGACATCTCTTGATAATAACAGATTAAATATACAATTTATACAAATCCTAAAATATATAAATTATTTGTTTAATTTTTTATTCGCGTATTGTAATTAAACTTCTCTCTCCCGTGATCTCTGTGATCGAATTCTTATCGCGATTGATGCGTCTTCCCGCGCGCTTTGTTATTTATTTAAGATCGCAGAGATACGAGAACAAAAAAAAAAAAAAAAAAAAAGAAACCGTAAAGAAATCATAATCGAATAAAACGCCACAGATCGCGCGAGCGTTTGTTCGACGCGGCTTCGTCACGCACGAATTAATATCATTAGTGCCGCCGCCTTATCACACAGCGTTCTTATCGCGATCGCGCGTAAATCACCCACCTGGTTTTGATAGGAAGTCGCTGTGTGAAATATACACCGCACCTTCCCAATGATAAAAAAATGTGTTCCGTTTTTCTTTTCGCTTCGCAGAATTTCACCGAGTTGTGGAGATAACTGGGACGCGCGTTGTGATCAAACTCACACACGTCGATCAAAGCTCTCGTCGACTCGTCGTGCCAACAGAGACCATCGTCGCGAAACTGTTTTGCAACACGCGAAACTTCCGGCACTCGAAAAGTTCGATCCGCGAATGGGACAATAAGTAGTCGGTTACTGTTTTATTCAGCACCGTGCGACGCGGCGCACTTCTTCGCCAACAGCCGACGTCGATCGTTCGTCATCAAAGTCTCACTCCGCGAGTTCAACCGTCGCCTTACACGCGGCTTTGCTGGCTGCATCGCACCGATAGAGCGGCACACAAGTGCGAAACACAGGAAGAATCGAACACGAGAATAATTTTACATAACTATATCTCATTATACACAAGAGGTGACGAAGGGAGAGACGCGGGCGCGCGGATCTTCGAACGCAAGCGAGAAACCAGTATTGCGCGTTTACCATCGCTACGTCGATATATTCATTTTCTTGATATTTGTTGCAATTTGCACGAAAACGAGTACAATACAGATATATTAAGTAACGGGAAGAGTAACGAGAGAGAGAGCGTGCATACATAAATAATATATCGGCGACTTCTTGAGAAGAACCGAAGAGTTCCTTTTTTGTGTCTCTCGTAGCCGGGACCTACCTCAACCAGCGACCATCTCGCGATCTTCGATCTCGCGTGAATTGTTGTCACCGCTCGTGTGTGATTCACGCAACCTCCCTCGATGTGGACTAATGGGATTTCGTGCGAGTTGACACCTTTTTTTCTTCGACGAATGTCGGTGAAGGGATGCCGACGAGCTTCACTCGCGCGTTTCTGGTCGTGTTCTTTTGTCGAGAGGGATCGATTCCCAGCCGAAGTCTGCGAAACGCGGTGATCAGTCGCGACGCGCCTTCCCAAATGTGCGAGATCGCGTCTCGTCGTCCCGCTTATCTCGCCGCGGATTTCTTATATCGCGATTGCGCGCCGCGCCGGCCACGTCAGGGACACCGGTGGTCGCTCCCGGTAGCAGCAACAGCCCGTGAGTGACGATCGGACCGGTGACATTTTCACGAGGTACGAGAAGAAACAACACTGGGCTTTCCTCCGACACGCACACACACCGCGCCGTCGACACGCCGCCTGCGCCGCGTATCTATCGATTCGCGTCGCGACGCCCGTCACGACACGAGCCGTAGCGCCTTCGTCCCCTACCAGGACTTTCCTCCGCGAATTATCGGAGTCCGATAATTATGTCAGCTCCTTTAGACGTAACTTTTTGAATAATCCCGGGCGAAGTACATCTGTGTGCGAACGTGTGTCCCAAGTAATACACTGATAAGCAAATAAATATTTTCTATCATTTCTACATAAAAGTTCGTTGTAAAAACGGATGCAACGAAGCATACGTATTATGGCCGATTGGCCTGCACAATTCATATGATAAGCTATTGATGAAAGATTTTTTTTTATAGATATAAGAGAAAGTGCAGAATTATTTTACACTCGCTAATTGTTTTATAAAGTTTTTGTGTGAAAAATCATCTTCTATTGATAACGTTTGAGATTTTAAACTTATCAGAATTATCATATATTTTATACAATTTTCTTGAAATTATAAAAATTGCATTAATTAATGTAATATTTATATGGCAAACTTGTAAATATCACTCTTACACTTGTTGTAAATAAATAATACTCGTACCTTTTGTGTTTCACGGACTTGAGATCTTGTTTCTTTTGCCTTTTAACCACTGTAGAATCGTCATTTCTTTGATGTTATCTAACGTAGAAATTAAAATTCAAACCGTCCACGATTTGTTTATTTACACATAACCTACAAATTTTGCCCAATTAGATTTATCTGATAAATTCATTGGCATTTGTACGTACAGCGTGCACTTTAACATTTTATTAATCACTCACCACTGTTGTCCATTGCTGTTATCGTTACTTCGTAGCTGTGCTACACAAATTGCAAACGCGTAACACAAAAAGACGTGTAACACTTCTTTAAATTACCTTCTCAGCGCGCCGCATCATCCATGTTTGTTGCTAAACATCACTTCCCGTTACTTCCCGAATATCACACCCGTTTAAGCTAGAACCAAGTTGTCTCTTGCTACTTAAGTAGCATCGTGTAACTCGCATTAAAAAACGTACGTCACCGAACGATCGACCGAAAATTTAATCTCGTCAACTTGCGCAAGTTCATACAAAAGAGACGTTTTTGCAGCCATTGAACTTTCGGTCAGGTTATATTTTTGTGTGAAACGCGTCAAACGCTGTCTGACGAGTGAAGCGAAAATAAACCGTGATTACTTTCGTGTAATTCGTAACCAAAGCATTTACAAAATACAATGTACGAAAACAATTTGTATGTTTTGTGTGTAACGTTGAATTGTTGACAATGAAAAAAAAAAAAAAACTAATTTTGTTGCAGATTATATCAAAGAGTTCGTATCTCATCGATTTTTGATGCGGTCTGCGAAAATGTTGGAGGTTTCAAATACTCAATAAACTTGTCATTCACAAATCTAGTCAGTTTTCTCAAGTACGTGAAAGTCAGAAGAGACACAATGAGTAAAAAGAAGACCATGGCAATCGACTTCCAAGACAACATGATTCTGCTCACGCGGAAGTACTTGAAGCGCAGAATAATGTGTCCCGAAACGAAATTCAGGCATCACGTTAAAGAACGGCTGCACGTGTTGGAACTGGTGAAACAAACTGTGGAATTAGGCGAGAGCAATTCCGCCTTGTTAATCGGACCTAGAGGCAGCGGAAAAACTACGGTATAATTGTTTTTGAAAATAATAGTAAATAACGTAGCGTAATTGCAATAATAATAAACTCACTTGTGTATATTTTCAGCTCGTTAACAGTATCTTAAAGGAACTGTCAGCTTTAAAAAGCTTCAAAGACAACGCGATGATAGTGAATCTCAATGGATTGGTTCACACTGACGACCGTTTGGCACTGAAAGATCTAACTCGTCAGATGCAGTTGGAAAATGTGGTCGGTGACAAAGTTTTTGGCACGTTTGCAGAAAATCTGAGCTTTCTCTTGGATTGTTTGAAATCTGGCGACAAGAAGCGTTCCAAACCAGTCATCTTCGTACTTGACGAGTTCGATCTGTTCTGTGGACATCACAATCAGACATTGTTGTACAATCTGTTTGATGTCGCACAATCTGCACAGGTAAATACCTTAGTGCAGATGAGAAGACTATCGTGCACTGTGTGAAAAATTCAGCACTGATGAAAAACTTCAATTTTGCAGGTGCCAATATGTGTACTAGGAGTAACTTGTAGATTGGACGTCGTAGAATTGTTGGAGAAAAGAGTCAAGTCAAGATACTCTCATCGCCAGATATTCTTGTTTCCCGGCGATACGTCATCCTCGGAACAATCCGCGTTCGATGACCGACTCGAACTTTTTTGTGATCTTCTTAGTTTACCTAACGACGAGAATGTAAATAAAGTAGAACAGGAATACGAGGACTGCACGATAGATCCGCAATTTGGATCCAAGTGGAATGAGTACGTTAAAGGTTTAGTTGACAATCCTACGATAGTGAACTTACTCAAGAAAATGTATTACGTCGACGTGAGCGAGCGAAGCTTCAGAAATTTCCTCGCGGTGGTCGTCTCGACGTTGTCCGAGAAGCATCAGAAATTGGAGGCGAACGATTTCGTAGAAGCGAGTAAACTCTTCTCCCAAGATGACAGATTACTGATGCTCGAGGGATTATCTATTTTAGAAATATGTCTAGTACGTCGATAATATGATTATGTTTCTAATTCTCTTCTTTTATTTTTGTGATAAAAAAAAGTAAACGCTTTAATCTCTCGCTTTTATCGCAGATAATAGCAATGAAACACGAAACAGAGATTTTCGATGGCGAGCCGCTGAATTTTGAGGCGGTTTACAACCGTTACGTTAAATTTGTGAATCAGCACTCCTCCATACAGTCTGTTCAGCGACCAGTTATCATGAAAGCCTTCGAACACATTAAGGTAAGAGTGTTGTCTTCCGTGTGTTGATAATTTTTTTTCGCTATAAAATACTTGGAGATAGATAAAGTGCGTATGTTTTTTAGAATTTAGAGATCTTGATACCAGTCGGAAGTACACACGCGAAATTCGAAAAGGAATATCAGTATTACAAATTCACATTAACATCACAGCAAGTTATGGAAGCTCTGAAAAACTATCCAAGTCTTCCCACGGAAGTTTCTCAATGGGCGTCAAGCAGTATATAAAATATACACGTACATAGCCACGAATTCATGTATATATTCATGCCATTTCATGTATATATTCATATTATTGTGTGTTCTATAAAATTGCGCACTTAGAACAAGTTGGACACGATACCAGTGACCATAGACTATCATATTGAAGGTTGCTCTATCATATCTGTTTGTGTCATATTCGCTAATTTTGTGTGTGTGTGTGTGTGTGTGTCATGCGTGCGTCATCGATATTTATATACATCAAACCGTGAAAATACATGTCTAAATATTTATATTATAAAAACATTTTTTGCAACATCGTGTGCGCCGGAGCCATCACGTGTGTTTTTAACGCAGTGTTCGGACAAAATTAAAATGCAACGAACTTGGAATCTACACGTGCGTTTATACGTTTTTAATAAATTTTTTTAACAAAAAAAAAGTATGAGTATACATAAATATCTCATCGATTCTTTGTTTTATTTCCTTAATTTATCCAAGCAAACTGCGGTTTTTCCGCGGATATTGTCAAGTCCGCGATTGTTTTGATTTGAGAAACGTTTTTCATCAGCTTCCTCGACAACTGTTGTTTTCCAGATTTTGCAAAATTGTTCAACTTTCTTTTTTTATGCTGAACAAGATACGAGTCATGACCTGTGTCGCAAAAATGTATGCGTTATCATGCGTCTCGACGGACGTCTCGAATCGTCGAATTAACGCGACTTACCGGGATTTATGCCAACTGGATGTACGTTCTTCAATGTCTTCTCCATAGTGAACGGTCGGAGCGCCGACATGGCGCGACTCACACCTATCTTCGAGTAAATCGCACAAGTTAGACGAATTGTAAAAGTAAAACTTCGTTTGAAAAGTCAAATAAAAATTAATTAAAAAAATCAAACAATTAAAAATATAAAGAAATATTGTACTTTTGAATGACGTATTCTATGCTCGACAAGATCCGCTCCGAGAACCTCTTCGTAAACCGACATTCGGATCGGTATTATCTTGTTTACGATCTGCAGAGAGAAAAATAAGTTTTTATATTTTTTCGATATTTGTACACACATATACACACAAATGTTTTTTCTTTAGATAGATATGAAATCGTATGATACCCATAATAGTACAACGGAGCTAATGAAGCTCCAAACTGTTAAACAAAGCGCGGATAAACTTTGTACCGCTAGCAGATACCAGCCACCACCTACAAGAGCATGTTAATGTGAGATAAGTAATTAAAAAATTAGAGATAAAAACTGCGCGAAACAATTGTGCACGAACCTTTGAATAAACCTTTCCTTCCTTTGGTAGTATCAAGAGGATACGGATTATCAGCAAATAAACCGATCGCGATAACTCCCCAGATACCACTTGCGCCTAACGAACATTTATTGTTGCGACTCGTAACTTTGTCGGAAAATTATCTGTACTAAAATTTTGACAGCGAGCGAACGCAAACAAACGTACCATGAGTGGCAGCTGCGCCAACAGGATCGTCTATATGTATTTTATCCATCAGTGGCATCACGGTACAAGTGATAAAAGCGCCCACCATGCCGATTACCATCGCTTCCCAAGCTCTGTATAGAAAACACCCACCTAACGCAATATTGCGATTAACACTTAACTCTATTTGATATATTTTCTCTTTCCGATTGTTTACATATTGACAACAAACACGCACCGGTAATTGAAACGAGCGATCCAAGAATACCGTTTATTTGGCTAAGTATGTCAATTCCATTTGGGTTGTTCAAACTGAACGCCAACCCGACCAGACCGCCCCCCATACTGCCCATCATTGTCGAAACAGCCGCTCGAGCGGCGTATTGCCATCGTTCGCCGGTCACTCCGTAAGTGCTACCGCTGTTAAACGCTAACCAGCCCCACCTGCGATTCACATTCATTTCTTCATTTGATCATCGCGACAAATAGCGATATTATGTGCTCTATACCATAACACGAATAAACCCATGATTGCATTCACGGGACATCCGAGCGGTAGGGGATCGATTCCGTTGTCGTATCTTCCTATCCTAGGACCCAGCATGATAGCGCAAGCAAGCGCTATAAATGGCGAAACAAATGGATTAATGTAATGTTCTCAAATTGAATCGATGATCACGGGAGATATCGCTCTGATATACTTTTGATCACCTGAAACACCGCCGACGAGATGCACCGGTCCCGAGCCGGCGATATCAACGACTCCCATGCGCTTAAGAAACCCGTGATCGCCCCATACCCACCCGGCCGGCAGACAATACACGATAGTGTTCAAAAACGAAAAGAGACAGTACGCTTTGAAGTTACACCTAGAAATGTAATATGCGCAGAAATACAACCGATTACCCGATACGATGTCGCGTTTATACGAAATAAAATATACCGTTCGGCCATAGCACCACTGACGATGGTCGTCGAGGTGGTGGCGAAGCTCAATTGAAACAGAAACGCGGCGCACATAGGACCCATGTATTCGTCATCAACGGGAGGATCTATGAGCAGACCTCCGATGCCGATTAACGGATTATTCGGTTCGTACATGCCGAAACTAAATCCGAACCCGAAGATCCAATAAGTCAGACCGCCCAGGACGATATCGACTACGTTTTTCATCATGATATTGACCTCGTTTTTTAGAGACACACAGCCGGATTCTAACATTCCGAAACCTACGGAATTTTATGCACAAATGAGTTTTTAATTTGTTACGTTTCAATCGAGATAAGATAATAAAACACTTTTGCAACAAATGTGACTTTACCTGTTTGCATTGTGAGAATCATAAACGAGCTTGTTACTATCCAATTGCTGTCCTCTTGTCCGAGATTGTATATTGAGCTGATATATCTGTCAACGGTCACATTAGTGCCGTTCTTTTCATAACTCACATTCATGACGAAGATTAAACTGTTTCCCCAACGATAGAAAATCGACTGCCGACGTCTTCGTTTCTTGAGTATTGATAGAGCACGAAGCGTACTTGTGACAAACAAGTTAAAAATTCAGGATAAGACGGGCAAAATAAGACATTGGAAAAACGTTACTTGACGTCGTCGCTTCTGTCAGCACAACCGATCAAGGAAATCTATTAAGAGAAAAAAAAGATGAAGAACATGAAATCAAGAAAAAAACGGGGAAAAAAATACATAGTCGTTTTTTTATCGCGTTTTGATATTTTTTTTATTGGCCTTACATCTTCTCCAGCCGTTTACAGAAAATTTTCCAAGTTGCTCGCACACACCCAATTTCTCTTCATTTTTTCAAAACTCGATTAACGGTAAAATCATGTACATATTATATTAACACTAATCTAAATTGATGTAAATGATATCACGTAGGATTTGTGTTGTTTATATACCACATGTCCAATTTATAATATGACAATTTATAGTATGACATTACTACTATTACTTCAGAAAACATTGATGATGAAGTGCAGTTTCCTTTGACGTAAAATTAATAATATATATGTAGCGAAACAAAAGTATTAACGACGTCTGACAATACATTTTTTTAAATTTAATTAACTCTGTTTTTGTTTGTTTAATGGATGGCCAAATATTATTACACATGATCGTAATGTCACGTAAATTTCTTTACGCAGAATATAGTCCTTCTTATGGTTCTATAATAAACCAAGTCCTCTTTCATTAGTACATGTAGAAAGAATGAAATTTACAAGAAGCGTGTTCACATCAGTAAAGAACAAATGTAATTTAGGTGAAGGGGAAGCAAACAGTGTGCAACGTCAAGACATAAAATTTTACACAATAGAGTGTCGATAGATATAATTTTGTATACACGGTTTTTTTTGTTTTTTGAAAGCGTCTATGAGGACTACGTTGTTGAATTGTTGAGTGGTAGATTGTTGTTGCTGTATCCTCAGTTGTTTTGGCAATTTGCTCAAGTCAAGAAATTTAATGACCATATACATTTTCATCGCTGTATGCTATATATAGGAAGAAATCCTCTTCATGATGTTCCTGATTAAAGTTGGAAAGAAAATTAGCATATACAAAACTCAAAAAGCGTTACACTCAACTAATATTATTTGTTGCAAGTGTATAAAATTTATATTACCGCATAAAGAGAGCCCATGGTGGCACTTGTTGGTGGAATGATGTTGTTGACAAAGAAAAACAGAGCATCTTCAGGACGCAAGTGAATCCTTTTACGAATTAAAAAGTAAAATTGACCGACAGTCAAATCAGAAGGTACCAAGTATTTCTGCTTGTCCAAATCACTGATCTTAGCTTTAGGCGCCTTCTCAACTATCACCTACAACAACATTTGTCACATTTGTCTAAAACATCTTGAAAAATATAAAAACACAAAAACAAATTCGTTCTTAAACATTTTCGAAAATATAATATTCTGTTCACAGTATGCATTAAGAAGGATACACGTTGATTAGTTCTGCTATTGCAAACACAAAATTAACCAATATCTCCAGCCTTTGAAGTTATTTATTTAACGAGAAAATTTGACTTGCTAAGAAAATTTTTAAGTAAACCGAATCTTTGGCCAGTTGCCCGAATCAAACTTCAAAGTATGCATTTTATTAAACGTGGACAGATTTGAATAACGTCCAACTATTGAATAACAGGATTAAGTCTAAGTTCGAGTCCTGTCATTAGTCCGGATAAATATTTATGAACGCGCGTGTATCGCAAATGACTTTGCAAAATTTTCATCATATGATCGAAGATGATTCATGCATGTATACGCGTAAACAATCTCTGTTTCTTCCTTTTCAAACTATCAATCGACGGACGCGTCCAAATTGAAGCAGATTCGAAAGAGGTTAGATTTCTAATGTCACAAAAAAAATTCTTTGTTACAGATAACCAGTAAATAAAAAAAAAGTAGTTTTAGTAATTAAATTTTAATATAATTAAATTATATTAAATTATATTTAATTAATTTTCTTGCTAAAATTTAAATTTAAAATGTGGTACAAGATTATTATTTATATTGAAAATCGTCGTTCTCTCAATTTAAAATTCAATTAAAGTCCAGAGAGTGAAGAAGAGACTGAAGGAGAATAACAATTTGACCGAATTGCGCGACATTGCAATAAAAAAAACTAAAGTGAAAAAAGGTACTTTATAAAAACACTGTATAGCAAAGACTCAGGTAAGTTTCAAAACAGAAACTTTGGACTTTTGATTTATCATTGAGAAAACTCACTCTCACGGTAAAAAGACAAAGAGATTTTATCTATATCATGTCTAAAGTTCATCATGTCACAATACACAACAGATGAAAAAAAAAAAAAAAAAAAATTAAAAAGAAATTCGATGTAAACAGAAAAAAATATCAAACGACACATGTACCGTTTTTCGTTGAACGTTTTTGGTCTAGGTTTTTTTAAAATTTTTATTTTTTATTTTTATTGACTGTGAGGTAAACCCTTGCGGCGTTACTCTGCAAAGATTTCTATATTTTTTTCGAAAAGCAAGTAACGAGAGAGATACAAAGAGAGAGAAAGAGCCAAATACGGAAATGTCAGGACGAAAAACATTGTCGGTTACATACGTAACAGATCAATACGGGCAGAGGGGAGTGTGTAGGAGAAGAAAGGAGCGTGATTCGCGTAATTTCGTGATGTGGACAAACAGGAGAGTCCCCGCACGCGTTCGCAATGACGCGTCGTTCGCGACGGAGTCGTGTGAAAAACGATTATGACGCAGCAAAGAGAGAAACGCGCGCGAGACCTTGGAGTTCTTCCTCCGAACTTTTGAGGGAAACGCGTCGCAAGAAAGCGATCGAATCGTTTGATCTTGCTACGTTCGTTTTGTTCCGCGGTAATAAAATTGGCAAGATGTTGATTTTTTTCTGATCGTGATATTCGTTCTATCGCCGCGACTGAGAGAGTCTCGGGGGCACAGGTGTGGGAACGAAACAGAAAGAACGTCACACGCTCTTTCGCGCAATACTCACAGGCACTCGATCCGGATATTTCCGACGTATCTTCTCGCCCTCGGCCTTTCTTTTCTCGAAAGGATGTTCCTCTTTGTACTGAAACTTCATTGTCCCCGTTTGCGAGGACGTTCTATTCTCGATTCGCTCGCGTTACTCACGTTTGCTGCTACACGCTTTTTCTCGACGATTATATCCGACAAGATCGCTTTGACACACAGTTGGCGACGTCTATGACTATGACGACGACGACGACGACAACCGACGACACGGAAAGACTCGAGAGTACACTGTGGTACACTGTTACAACACAACAAATCACCTAACGCATTACCCGCGATGCGCATTACGACCTGCGCATTCACGCTGCGCACATACGGTCTCCGCCGTCAACAAATAGGCCCATCTCGGTTTTCGATTTCTAATCGTTTTCTCGAAAATTGCCGATTTTTCCGTTAATCGACAAACGGCCGATTTCTTCATACCTCTCGATAGCTATCCTCTGGATAAATTCCTCTGAGAACCAATAAGGAGAACCAATTTTGGGAGATATCTTCTAGATAAAGTTATCGAAAACTTATCTAGAAGTGAAAAAATTGGCTGAAATACGGTGATATAATTTTTTTTCAACAAATGTCAGAAGTGTCGCACGAAGCAAATACGGAAGAAACGAAAGAAACGTAATATCACTATGAAAGAATCGTTATTTCGAGAAACAGATCATTAAGGCCGGTATTCATAGTCGGATCTTGTATTTAAGATCGTCTTAAGCTTATGTCACACTACGGATTTAGATTGAAATTGGATTGCAATTTGGTCAATCAGAGCGAAGATCAGTAAACTTAGGATTGGTTTTCTTTCTTCTGATTGGTCAAATTTCAATCCAATCTCAATCTCAATCCGTAGTGTGACATAGGCTTTAAGTTTATCTTCAGATCATGCGCGAGTAATTTTATTGGCTGCAAAGCATCTGAAGATAAACTTAAGACGATCCTAAATATAAGATTCGACTATGAATACCGGCCTAAGGTAAGATCTTACTACCTTTTCTCGAATCATAATAGGTGCGTTCAGACAACTCGATAGTTGCACACAGTTGAGAGATAATCACTTCTGATTGGATCATACTTTTGGAACCTTTAAGGGTCGTCTACAATGGAGAGTTTTAGACTGTAACAGTAAGAAACTGACAAATCACAATCGATTATTCTTCTGTGCTTTGTCTGTGATTGGTCAATTTCTTACTATTACGGCCTACAACTCTCCATTGTAGACGGCTCTTTAAGCCTATGTCACACTACGGATTGGGATTGAGATTGGATTGAAATTTGACCAATCAGAAGAAAGAAAACCAATCCTAAGTTTACTGATCTTCGCTCTGATTGACCAAATTGCAATCCAATTTCAATCCAAATCCGTAGTGTGACATAGGCTTTACGTTGCATGATGCACAATCTGCACAATCAACCTCCAGGAAATAGTCAGGATGAACAGGTGAGAACACATAAGTAAAACATTTCTTGGCTTTTTCTATGATTTCTTCTTTTCAATATTGTTACCTTATGTATTTTTATATTTGTTTTAAAATTTTCGCATATCAACTAGTAAGAAAACTACGCGGATATATGTAATATTTTATAGCAAGAAAAATCAAAACCGCGCTAGGTTAGATGTATTCGACCACGTGAGCAAAATGAATTTTTTTAAATGTTTATTTTTGTTATTTATTACATTTTATTTCGAATTCTTTTTATTGTATGTTACGGAATACACATAGAGCATATATATATTTAAAGTCAATAATTTAATACCCTCTCATTTTGGCATGCCTCTACCTTGCATTTCGGTTGAGCATGAATGCTTGTGGGAGGTAAAGTAATAAGGAAATTTGCCTTCGGAATCCACACGATGCTGTCTGGAGCCGTTTCTCTAAGTTTCCAACAGAACTTTTTAATTCTTAAATATTACCTTATATTTTTTTAATTTAAACGAGTTTAAAATTAAAAATGTCTTTATTATTAAAATCTTTTTTTATTTTAGATTACTCGAAGTGCTGCTATATATGGGCAACAGAGATGTTTTAAAAAGTATATATTCCGTTCTCTCTTTCTCTCTCTTATTCATATTGATTTATTTCATTCTATCGCAAGATTGCTCAATTAAAACTGATATTGAGAATTATTGTTAAATATTTTATAATATGATGATTTTTTTGATATACAATGACATACAATGATGTTTTCTCTAAGAAGAACTGATAATTATAAAATTTTCACTATATTATACATTCCTGTAGAAGTAAAATCTTAATACTGTTTTTTGTACATAAATTTTAGGTGAAGGAGAAAGGTAAATACCAGAAAAGTCTGTTTTTTGTTTCAAAGACTGCCACAATTGGGAATGTTTCAGAGATTGTGTATCTTCCAGATATAAATTATTATTACTTATTTTTTTTAGTAATATTTAACTTGTTACAAAAATTAAAGCTTGCACATATGTACTCATTTTATAGACTTTGATATATACTATATTTCATATATGTATTGTTTATACTTTTTAATAAATAAAACTTGTAAAAATTATTCTTTTTATGTCAAATCCAGCCTCTCAAATACTTGAATATTTGCACCATCTGATAAAGAGAGAAGATAGCGGAGGATGTGATCTTTCAATTGTGCGAATTTATATTTAGATGATTTATAAAATATTCTTGTTAAAAGATAATTCTTGGTTTTAAGATTTTGGAAATAACATAAACGTCAAATCAACGATACTCACGGAAAAAGGTAATAAAAGGGGAGTAGATTTTTAAATTTTTTTTATTAAAGGAAATATGTACAGATGAAACTGTATTACTCGGCATCCTCTTCGTCATCATCTTCTTGGCTGTTAATCTGGAAATATCTTAATTCGTATGTTTCTTTGTCTTTCGATACCACTCTCAACCAATCGCGCAATTTGTTCTTCTTCAAATACTTCTTTGTCAAGTACTTGAGGTACCTATGAAAACATAGTTTGCAAATTAGTGCAAATATCGGTCTTTCTGTAGCTTTTTATAGTAAGACGGTTGCTCGATATCTCTAATATTCACAAAAGCTATTCTTCAACTTGTGTTTATCATAAGTAATTACCTAATCAAACATACGACACTACTCACCGCTTAGAGAAGTCAGTATCGCTATTGATGGTAAGCTTCATCTTATTTCTCTCCAGAACAACGTTATTACCAAAGTTGTTGGTTTTACCATTGACTTTGATTTTTTCTTGCAAATATTTCTCCTACAAATCATCGTTGTGACAATTAATCTCAACAATTCTGCATCAAAATATGGAATGGAACATCTAGTTCAAATTAATATATATATATATATATATATATACGTGCATGTGTGTGTGTGTGAGGTTATATTAGATTAGTTTTGTAAAAAAAAGACAGAAGTGTCATCTGTATGATAAAATTCTTTATAAGCAGAAAGAAAGGAAACAGCGCGTTGATGAGATAATCCAGCGTAACTTACAAAATTAGTCACGTCGAGGATGTTGTCCTCAACGGGATGAGTGCAATCAATTGTAAACTTCAGGGACACTTTTTTCTTCTGTCCCTTGCCCCGAAGAACTTGCTTCTTAGCCGGACCTTTGGCTTTCTTCGGCGCCTGAAAATTTGCAAACGTAACAATCTTTTCGCCAACGACAACATTGTTTCGCGAGAGACACGTGCAAAATCGTCTAGAAGAACGGGGCGATGACAGCACGGAAATCCAGCTCGATTAAATTAATCTCGAGATAAAACAAAAAGTCGTCACAGCGCAAGTGACAAAGCAAACGCGTTTTTTCCGGCTGTAATATTATTTCGGATTGATTCTGCCATGATTGCGAATAATAATCGTGTTCGAGTGGAACAAAACTTACCGGAGCCATGTTTGCGTATTGTAAAAGAACGAAAGAGTTCAACCAGGGAACCAGAGTAGAGAAGTTAGGGAGGAACTAACAAAACTAAACGGAACTACCGGTAGGTGGCGCTGTAATCATTTTACAACTGCCAGGAACGTACATATATTAGTTTGGACAGAGAGAAGCCTGAGAACGGCCAGGGCTGGGCTGTGTTCAGTTAAGCAAGATGGAACGAACTAATGGAGGAAATGCAGGAAATACAGGAATTGGAACTAATGAA